CGAATCAAGCATTCTCAGACGGTACTAATTTCATTTTTATTAATTTTATGTTGTTCACATTTTTTTAAACAATGTAACTCTTCCTCCCCCTTTCCCCATTATATTCACACCTATTCCAAAAATGACTCCTCTTCTCTCACAAAACAAAAACAACAAGAATGGAAGTCACCCAAAAACCCTTGAGATACATTACATGTATAAGAGAGAAAAAAACTTAAAGAAAGGAGTACATCATGAATATTTTGTCCACAAACAGTTCACATCAATCCCCCTTTTTAATAAACTTTGATATAATCAGTCTAAATGCTAGTCTGAACGCCTCAATGATAGAGCAAAAAAATAAAAGACTTGCATTGCTTGCAGTGCCAAAAGCATTCTCTCTCTCCCTCTCTCTCTCTCTCTCTCTTGCCCTTTTTAACTCCCGGTGGAGCACAGGCCATCAACATTTCTCCAGCGAAGCCTGGAAAAGCATAACGGCTTTACCAATCTTACTAATTGGCAAAAAAATAACCCACCCCCAAAAAAGCTGTCGCCAATACACAATATAATTAATATATATTAGGATAATTTTTTGTCATCTGACAAGGGTATTTAAGGCTCCTTGAAAAACAGGCCATGAAAAGGCGCAAACTGTTTTGAAAAGTAAACGTTTGAGAAAATGTCCCCTTTTCTGTAATTTTTTACCAAAGAAAGATTAAGAAACTTTAGCTTCAGGTACCAGTAAGTAATTTCAAACATAAATTTTATGCAAATTTTTCTTATGACTCTCTACGTCCGAAAATTCAAACAGTTGTAATAGATTTTCAAACTTTAAAAGACTGCATTTGAACTCTTCTCTAATATTTGAAACTTAGTGGTCAATAAAAATCAGATTGGCAATACACTTCAGTAAAGGGATGGATTTTTGTCAGCTGGTGGAGGCCCATGGGCCAATGGTGAAACCTAAGGGCTGCCGGTACTGACTGGCCATAGGTTTATGTTTTAGTTTAGTTTTAGTAAGAGTTTTACGGCACTTGCAAGACAATAAGGTCATATAAGTGCCGAAGATTAGAAGTGTTACAAGGGAGTAACAAACACAAAAAAGAAGAGGGGAGATAAAGACGATTCATATGTTTGACAGGAAAAAAGGAGCAAACCACACCAGAGCACCCACCAACCACCCACGTACCCATCCCCCTTGTTCCTTACAACAAAAGATCGAACCCAGAAACTTGGGTTTTGTAATTTTTCTGTGTGTATTTTTCTAGTTTCTATAATAAAAAAAGACGTTTACAGCTTTAATTAATTCTCAGAAAATATATCTTTTACCTTCGTTATTGACTGCCAATACCTTTGCCACTTAAAATCTTCACTTCACAGCTCGAATTTCAACTCAGTTTATGTAATTTTCTTCATTGATGGTTTTGGTCAAAACATGATGTAATTGTCTTCGCGTCAAACACATATTACATCCAACACATCAATGAACATATATACTTTATTATAACCAACCATGTGGCGGCCCAGCACCAATGAGTCAAAAACTGACTTCATTTTGAAAAACAAAAAATATTGTCTTGCAGTTTTTATTACTTTTCCTTCGTGCATGTTTTTATAATCACTGGGTAGTTCATGAATTTCCAAGTTCAATCAATGGCTTTCCTGCATTAAAAATAGACTTACAAATCAACTTCACAGAACTCTCAAATTTTACCAAGAAGCTGATAAAGATGCAGTCTGTTACAACACCATTCCATTAATTTATCCGTATTTTGGCTTTAAAAAATTTTCTGTTCACATTTCACTCAAATTATGGAATTTTCATAGCTGGAAGGAAATGAAAATGTAGGAACCAAGTCATCATGATAAGAGCTCATTCATAGCAGGAGGAAGAAGAGTGTTCTCATAGTTTGCCAGGAAGTTGTTTCCTCTCTAATAATTGATTTCTAATCTAATTATTTTGTTATATATATATATAAGATGTTTCATATTGAATGACACAGGCACAGACTGTCAGAAACATTCACTCAATTACTTTGATTAATCTTGGCTCTATTAACTCCTAAAGCTGTCCCCGTGGTTTTATGCACCCTGCATAATTTCGCAAAATTTGATCATTTTTTGCATAATTTCTTATTATTTTCCTTTATCATTCTTTGTTAAAATTAACAGAATCGCATAATTTCATATTTTTGGGCTCAGTTTGAATCATTTAAGAATTTTTTTTGCATAAAACCGCGGGGACAGCTAAATGTAGCTCTCTTTTAATATAAAAGAGGCTCATTGCGATTTATAATTCGTACATTCTTTCATTAACTTACAGTCTAATCTCTTTTATAAAAAAAGAAGAATTACTGGGTCTTTTTTTTGTACTTTACGGCACTCACAACTGCATAAAGGTCATATGAGCACTCGGGACACATTAAACATTTTCAGTTGGTAGGAAATTTTAAATTTTGCCCTGAGGGTGGATGAAGCCTACTCTTATCGATTTTGGACCACCAAGGGATCCTTTAATGTGCGCAACTTGCACACAGACCTCCTGGATTTTTTGCCCTTATATCTGAGAAGGCAAGGTGTAGATCTTAAGTATCATTTAAAAAAAGGGGTGTGGCAGAAAGACAGCAGTGTAGTTAGAAGGAGCCATGGAGAAGCAGTGAAAGGCTACAGAAAGACTTGGAGCCAAGAGTAGCAGGAAAGGATGTGAAAAAAGAAAATTTTAGAGGAACAAATTTTCAGTCATCTAGCTTTGAACCCGGGACCTATCGCATGAGAGGCGAACTCCTTAACTTTAACCTTTAGACCATGAGAGCCCCCAGTGTGTAACATTTTTTAAAAGTTACTTTACAAGACAATGAAAAATAGCCACTACTCTCCAATATCAACCAGTTACTTTTACCCATACACCCGTTACTCTGAAAAGTCTCAGTCAAGTGGTAATATCGAAACGTCAACACAATATTATTATCGTCAATATTTAGCATCTCTCTCTGCCCTCTACAAAACGTAGAAATAGAGATCATGAGTGGGTAACGCACATCCCCCAGCCCCTAGACGTTGAAATAGAATGAGGGTTGGGGATCAGTGCTGAGCCTTTTTACTTTTACTTTACTTTACTTTTCCGATCCAGCGGCCATTTGGGTTCTAGCCCTTCGGTCTGTCGATATGGCAAAGAATTGACAGGTTGCTGAGCCTTTTTAAAAGTTTGTACCGTACAGGTCGGGCCAACACGGTTAGGAAGTCAGAAAATTTCTGAAATTTCAGTACAGCGCTGTAATGCTTTTTAAACACGTTTTTTATCCCGCTTGCAACACTAAGATGGTCAGAAAGGATTAGGGGAGTGGGTTAACAAATACGAAGTGACTATTTCTCCGAACGCTCGGGAAAATAAACTTGACCTCTAACGGTTTCCATTCTCGAGATTTTTTGGTTATTTGCGAGAATTCGGCGTCCAACTGCCACTCTGCAAGAACTGGGAAGAAGCATTTTTTGCATCGAATTCAACTTCTTGAGTTAAGAGATTTTTAGACGTCTGAATATTCAGATAATTCAATTGTGGTTGAGGCAACTTTCCCTGACTATACTTCATTTGAAAATGCCTTCAAAAGGAACTGTGAGAAAATAAAGACTGCTCGACTTTGGCAATAACCTACTTTGCATTTAGTTTAGATCTAGTCACACCTAAAGCAAAAACTTTTAAAAAAAAAAAAATCCCTCCACGCCCCCCCCCCCCTTCCTCACCGTTCACACCTTATTGTTACACACACACACAATTATACACACCCACGCTGACAAACACACACGCGCACACACACACGCACGTGCGCATGCCACTCCATTCGCAAACACCAAAAAATCTTAAGAACGGAAACTGTTCGGAGAAATAGGGTTCAAGTTTATTTTGCCGAACATTCGGATAAATAGACTATAGAGTAGAACCGGCCTAACAAATTTAAACCAAAATAGATACTACTTATGATTTACCTTACTTTCCTTAGCAGCCTAATCCTTACTGTCTGAATTCATCAGGCATCTTACTACAATTACAATTTCCAACAAATTCACACCTTTTTAAACCTTATGTTTATTTTTCGCCCCTTTGGTTTTTCTAAAGGGAGTGTATACAGACCCGGTAACCGAACAAAGTCACAAAGTATACAGACCCGGTAGGGGAACTCTTTTGTGATTTCGGAAAGTTTCAGCGCCCTCTTGGCTCAGGGTAGACCTAGGTTCTTCTTGTAGATCTATGGCCTAGGCTAGGTCTAGATCTAGATCTAGACAGACAGACATAAATCCTTGGTCTAGTTTCGAGGCTAGCCTAAATCTCTATCTAGATCTAGATCTAAATGAAGATTGCGGATGTCTTTTCGATGAACGATCGTTTTTCCTCCGTTTTGGAGTTGGAGGAATTACAATTTGAAGAAAAGAACAATGTCATAATTTCTCTCGAGCAGTCATCCTCTCTATTTCTCTCTCGCTCTGTTGCTAGCATTCAATTCTCTTTTTCTTTGTGTCTCTGTCTTTCTTTCTCCCCACCTATTTCCCACTGGACGTCTATATCTTTCTCTCGTTCCCTCCTGCCAACTGGGGCATGTCATACATTTTGCTAGCACTTCCCCCTGCTCTCTCTCTCTCTCTCTCTCTCTCTCTCTCTCTCTCTCTCTCTCACACACACACACACACACACACTACCGGGTCTGGGCGCTGAAACTTTCCGAAATCACAAAAGAGTTCCCTTACCGGGTTTGTATACTTCGTGACTTTGTTCCCGGTTACCGGGTCTGTATACACTTCGTTTTCTAAAATCTTAACTCTTAACAACAATGAAAAAACACTTGGATTTGGAGCAAACCAGTTCAGTAGGCCTACATTGTGTCATTGTAAAATATAGATACCACTGCTGCTTTTCTGCAAAGAACGGAAAAAAAATAATGAAAACAAAGATCTATAAAGTCTAGATTCTAGATCTAGAGTCTAGACTAGATCTCTCGATTTATAATTTGTAAACAAAGAATACTCACTCTGAAAAAAGGCCATCACTTTTCCTCTTTGAGAGGCGGACACTGAAACCATCAAAAAACAATTCAGTACAATAGTCCAGGCAACGACTGTTCTGAAACTCAAGCAGGATGTAGCAGCCATGGCGACAGTTATTTCTTTGTGTAGTATCTAAACGTTCTGCAATATCGACCGTAAGAATGAACACTGCTTTCTTGAACTAAGTGAAAAAGATCAGCGAAGGCACAGCAAAAGTTCGCTTGATCCAGAGACCCAGTCTCGAAGTCAGAGTTGACAAGAAACTTACGGTGTCCCACTTCTGCTTTTATCAGGTGTCGATAACATCCTTCGATCAGATATGAAAACAAATTAGATACATCAGTTAGAAGGTGTATAACAATCCCAAAAGATGTATAAAAATCACAATTCTAACTCATACTGCTACACTGCTAAAGAAAGTAACACTACACTACACATACGACTGCACTGTTACGGTGGTCATTGTTTTCTTCCTACTCTTGAGTTCTGAGTTCTAAGGATTATATTTCAACTGCTTCCGGCAACGCAGTATTGCCAGGTCCAATTTCGCGTAGTTTTCCTTGTCTAAACCGCTAAAATAGATTTTTTACATTGAAATCAAAATGATGAAATCAACTATGTTAGATATCAATACATTGCATTTTAATTCATAATTTTCAATCCTATTTTGGTTCCCATTTCCATTCTGTATCCACTGATCTACTAGCTAACTTATCCCTTTTTTAAAGTGAGCTTGTATAAATGGTTTCAACGATTATATGTGGTTCAAGAAAGGTCCTGAAACAGAAATAAAACAGCCTGAAAACAGATCATGTCAAAGGGAAAAAAATGGAATAACTAAGGTGATAACTATAACGAGCAAAGTAAAAGCTTTTCAAATTAAACATCAGATCATTAAAAAAATATTTATTAATATACAGAGTCAAAATCGATAAACTTTATACTTAGATTAATATACATGTGTACGTGTATTTATAATTCAAAGTGATTGTTTACATGGATGCAAAAATTATCATGAATCAGAAGAGCGCGGATTCTTTAACCAATTACTTACTAACAAAACTTTATAAATGTAAAGAAAAATAGAACCCCAAAAAATTACAATATAAACAGAATTATCAATACAATTGCCCCAAGCAGTAATTCGCTTGCAGTTTTTTGTGTGTTTTTTATTTATCTTTTAAAACTATTTATTGTTTATTGTTTATTGTTTCAGGAAGCAACATCCCTGCACTCCGGACATGTCCATTGATACTCCGTTGCTCTCTCCAAAATGTTACCGAGGGTCCTTCTACTGATTGTGCCAGTGCACTTTCTTTCTCCAGAAAACTATTTATTCATTTATCTATTAATTTATTTATTCGTAATGTTTTTATTTATTTATCTATTTATA